CCCCCCCCCCCCCCCCCCCCCCCCCCCCCCCCCCCCCCTGGGGGGTGTTCCTGCGTTCTGGGGGTTAGGGCTCTTAGGGTCTATGGGATTTGGGGGAAGCTGAGGGATTGGAAGAGTCTCGGGGTGAGGGTGAGGCCTGGGGGGTTTGGAACAGAGGGGAAGCCGGGGTCCTTGGGAGCTCAGAAGGAAGTGGAGGGGTCATAGGGGGTCCGGAGTTCTGAGGGGATCAGGAGGATGCGGGGGGAGGGCCTGGGATTGGGGAGGGGTTGGAAGAGTCTGGGGGGGTTCCCTAAATTAGGGAGGAGCTGAGGGGTTCTGGATGTGAGTGGGATCTGCAGAGTCCTGGGGCCTGGGGGGCTTGGGAGAGTCTGGTGGAACTCCTGCACTTTGTGGGTACCTGAGGGATCCTGGGCTGGGAGCTCTGGGGAGCCCTGGGGTCCGGGGTGGGCGTCCAAGGGACCTCAGAAGGTCTGGAGGGTGTTCCCGAGGTCTGGCACTCCTTGGATGGGATGGAGGGTGCCCAGAAGCCCCCCAGACTATGGACTCCCCCTCCCCCCATAGTGGGACCTGGTGTGTGCCGCACGCTGGAAGGTGCCCCTGGAGCAAACCACGCACCTGCTGGGCTGGGCGCTGGGCAGCATCGCTGCAGGCATGGCCTGCGACAGGTAGCGGGGCGGGGGGCTGGTGGGGCATCCCCCCATGGGACCCTCAAGCCAGCTCACCCCCCCCTCACCCCCGCAGGTTTGGCCGCCGTCCCACCTTCCTGGTGTCCCTGGGGCTGGCGGTGCCGCTGGGGCTCAGCGTGGCGTTGGCCATCGACTTTGTCATGGTGCTGGTGGCACGGCTGCTCTTTGGGGCTGCGCTGGCCGGAGCCTTCCTATCCCTCTACGTGGCACGTGAGTGGGGTGTGGGCTGCTGTGGGGCAGGGGCTGCTGCGGGGTCCAGCAAGTGGTGTGCTGGGGAATGAGGGATGCGGGAGGCTGCGGGATAAGGGATCCTGCAGGGTGCAGGATGCTCCAGCAAGTGGCGTGCTGTGGAGTGCAGGATGCCGTGGGATGCTGTGGGAATCGGGGACCCGCAGGGTGCAGACGCCCCCATGGCCACGACCCCCATCCTGCACCATTTGTCCCCACGTCTCACGCCAGGGCTGGAGCTGTGTGACCCCCCGCACCGGCTGGAGGTGACGATGATCGCCGGCTTCTCCTGGCTGGCGGGAGAACTGCTGCTGCCGGGGCTGGCGGTGCTGTGCCGGGACTGGCGGGTGCTGCAGGGCGCCGTGACGGCCGTGCTGGCGCTGCTGGCAGCGTGTTGGTGGTGAGCACGGGGGGAGCGGGGCCGGGCGGTGCCCGCTGCCTGCGCAATTCGGCATCAAAGGCTGCGGGGCTCTCGTGCGCCGTGGGTAAACGTTTACTCAGATCTCGAGCTGAGGGTTTCCAGGAACGGGGTGGCGGTGGCAGCGGGGGGGTCAGTCCCTTTCTCACAATCCCTTTCTCAGCCCGTGATGTCGGCCCCCCCTCTCCTCCCCGCAGGTGCCCGGCGCTGCTGCTGGAGTCCCCGCGCTGGCTGTTGGCCACGCAGCAGCTGGAACGGGCCAGGAAGACGCTGCGGGCGCTGGCGGGGAGCGGCGGGTGCGGGGCCGAGGAGCGGAGCAGCACCATGGCGGGTGCGTGGGGGGGGGGTGGGGGTGGTTGGGACCCCCTTCCCCATCCCGACGTGTCGTGCAGGCTCTGAGCTCTGTGCCACGCAGAGCTGGAGGCGCTGGCAGAGCAGTGCCCGCAGCCCCACTACCACAGTGTGTGCGAGATCTTCGGCACCAGGGTCATCTGGAAGAACGCCGTCATCCTCGGCTTCACCGCGTGAGCGCAGCGGCACCGGGCTTCTCCAAAACCCCCGTCCCCAACCCTTCCCATCACACCCCCATCCCCACCCCGCAGGTTCATCGGCTCTGGCATCCGGCACTGCTTCACCCGCAATCTGGCCCCGCACCTCCCGCGTTTCCTGCCCGCGTACTTCGCGCTGCGGGGCCCCGAAGCGGCCGCGTGCCTTTTCCTCTGCGTCACCGCGGAGCGCTGCGGGCGTCGCGCTGTGCTGCTGCTGTGCACTGTGCTGACCGGCACCGCCTCGCTGCTGCTGCTGGCGCTCACCCAATGTGGGGGGGGGGGGGGGGGGGGGGGGGGGGGGGCGCCGGGGTTTGCCCCCTTACGGCTCTCCCCCCACTCCCCCCCCCCCCCAGACCTCCTGGAGCTCATCGTGCTGATGCTGTCCGTGCTGGGGGTCACCGCTTCGCACGCCGTCACCATGCTCAGCATCTTCTTCGCCAGCGAGGTGCTGCCCACCGTGGTCAGGTGAGCGGTTCGCAACCCCCCCCCCCCGCGACGTCACCCCCAAGCCCCCCCCCCCCCCCCCCAACTCTCAGCTCATTCTCCCCCCGCAGAGGCGCGGGGCTGGGCCTGGTTGTGGGGGCCAACCTGGTGGGCTCCGCGGCCGCCCCCATCGCCGCCGTCGCCAGCAGCCGCGGATTCTTCCTGCACCACCTGGTGTTCGCCTCCTTCGCCATCCTGGCGGTGCTCAGCATCATGCTGCTGCCCGAGAGCCAGGGCCGCCGCCTGCCCCATTCCCTGCAGGAGGGCGAGAACCAGCGCCGGCCCCCCCTCTTCCGCCGTCCCCCCCGCGAGGACCACCTCCCCCTGCTCGCCCCCCGCGGCATTCCCCACGACTATTCCCGCATCGTCCCCTCTGCCCAAAGGGCGCTGGGATCGGGCCGCGGCCCCGCGAGTCCCCCTACGCAGACGTAGCCACGGCTCCCAGGGGGCTTCCCAATGCTACTTGGCCGCGAGGCGGGGAGGAGGCAAGCCCAGCGATGGGTGCACGCAGAGACCCCTCCCCCAGTGGCCAAGCGCAGCTCTGAGCCCCCCCGCTTCTCCGAGCCCCCCATCCCCGTGTGGCCCTGGGGCTGCGAAAGAGCTGCGTGCCCCCCGGCCCCCACATCGCTGGGCCGGATCCTGCCCCGGGAGGAGCGCTGCTGGGAGTCCTGGGGCGGGGGTGATGCCCAGGTGAGGGGGGGTGGGGGGGGGGAGAGAGGAATGCAGCGGGTGCTGACGTGCTGCCAATAAAAGTGCCTTTGTTTGTACACGGGGGGGTACAGCCGGGGGTGGGAGCTTTATTGGGGATGGAGGGGAGACCCTCCCCAGTGCGGAGCCCGGCAGCGGCGCCCGCTGCGCTCAGAGCCACCGCGTTGCCCGGCTGCCAGACGGGGTCGGGGCTCCTTCACGGCCCGTAGAGGTCGGCCAGGCGGCGGAAGCGCGGCCCCCACTCCCGCAGGTAATCGTAGTCCTGATCCCCGTCCGTCAGGCTGGAGACGATGGAGCTGAGCGCGCTGCCCGCCGAGCCCGAGCCCTCGTAGTCGTAAATGAGCGCGGTGTCGTAGGGGGGAACGCTGGGATCGCTGTCAGCCGCCTCCAAGCCCTGCGGGATCCGGGGGGGCATCATCAGCCCCATGGGATACGGGGCGGGCAGGGGAGGGGGGGGGGGCAGCGCCGCGTCCCACCTCGTTGATGAAATCCTCGATGTCGGAGGGGCCGCGGGGCGGGCGCCGGGAGGAGCCGGGGGGGGTGGCGGAGCGCAGCGGGGCGTCTCTGCGGAGTGGGGGGCGGCCGTGGGGCGGGGGGTGCCGCAGCTGGGTCAGATCGTAGGCGTCCTGCGGGGACGGGAAGGGGGCGATGAGACCAAACCCCCCCCCCCCCCCCCCCCCACCGATTCCCGGCCCGGTGCCCCCACCTGGTCCTCCTCGCCGCCTCCCTGCTCGTCGTAGTTGAGCACGTTGTCCCGCACGTCGTCCCCCCAGCGCTGCAGCAAACCCCGCCGCTGCGCCCGGCGGCGGCTCCGGACCTGCGCGGCCCCCAGCAGAACCAACACTGCGGGATGGAGGGTGGGGGGGTCGGGTGGAGGCGCGAGTGAAGCGGGATGCAGGTGAGGGGTTGGGTGGCGGGGATGGAGATAAGGAGTTGGGGTGACGTGGGGGCCGTGCGGGTGCAAAAGTGGGGCTGGGGTTGCGGTGGGATGGGGCGGTGGGGGGGGGGGCTCTGCGGTGCCACTCACTGAGGAGGAGGACGGCGCTGCCGACGATGATCACGAGAGCCTCCAGGGCGACCCCGACACCGGCTGTGGCGGCCGCCAGGACCCCGTCATCGCAGAGCCCGTCGCGGCCGCAGGGACACACGGAGACGTTGAGCAGCTGCTGCTGCTCCCGGGGGGGGGTGCCGGAGTCCCGCAGTAGCAGCGGCAGCGAGTAGGGCCCGGCGGGCAGCTCTGCCAGCACGGCCAGCACCGCGTGCGTCACTGCGGGGGGATGGAGGGGCACGGGGTCAGCGGGATCAGCCCAGTACGGCGGCCCCCCGACCCCCTTCCCCCCCCTCCCTCACCGTTGAAGCGGGTGACGCTCCAGTTGCGGGCGAGCTGCGGGTGCTGGGGGCTGAGCTGGAAGTGGAAGGGCGCTCCGTGGGGGGGCCGGTCCCGGTCGTTGGCCCCCAGCAGAAGGGTCCCCCCCCGGCCCGGCCGCCCGCACACCGCCCCCGACGGCGGCTGCAGCTGCGGAGCGTGGTCGTTCACCTCCACGATCTCAATGGACAGCGTGCCCGTGGCCGAGAGAGGCGGGTCGGCTGGGAGGG